GTGTTCAGTGCACATACGTGTATGAAATGCTCCCAAAAATTGCCGAGAACTTAACCTTATTTGTTTTAGTACTCTATCTGGCCACATGTCAATAATGATAAGGAGGGTAAGGTCAGCTACACACACACACACACTTTTATTTATGTTCACACTCTGAAAGTATTCAGCAAGCATCAATAGATAATAAAATCTCCAATACTTGGTCGTATTTTGTCATATTTCTCCTGTTGAGCTTTGAATAGGGGCAAAGGCAGGTAGCAGTGCATTCTCAAAATATGATGACCTTGTGCAAAACAGTATCAGATCAGTAGCCCGTGCATCTGCCCTTGAAGGGCATCTGCAAACCTCTCACTACCAGTCTGTAGACATTTCTAAGACCTGCTCTAGCTCTTGTAACTGAATTAGATGCTTTGTAACTTTAGTGAGACAACCATGGTACAGGCCATGGTTATTTCTCGCATCGACTATTGCAATGCCCTCCTAGCAGGTCTTCCAGCTTGTGCAGTGAAACCCTTACAAATGGTTCAGAACGCAGCAGCACGTCTGGTTTTTGATCAGCTCAAAAGGACTCATGTCACTCCATTACTCAGTGACCTCCACTGGCTCCCCGTGGCCTCCAGAATCAAATTCAAGTCACTAATGCTTGCTACCTAAACTCCATAATACAAACTTACGTTCCTTCTCGGCCGCTACGCTCCTCCAACGAACGCCGCCTGGCTCTGCCATCCCTTCACACAAAGCAATCCCAGTCCCGGCTATTCTCATCTGTGACACCACAATGGTGGAACGAGCTACCACACGCCATCAGAGCAGGGGCGTCCCTCTCTAACTTCAAGAAGCTCTTGAAAATTCATCTCTTCCGAGAACACTTCCTCTTATAACACCTCTAACTCCTAACCTCTAACATGCACTTCCTGTGCTCTTCTTCTTCTATCCCCTACAATGATCTTGTATTGATTGCACTTTTTGTTTTGATTGCACTTTTTGTTAACTCTTACTTCCTTCCCTAGGTATCTACCCCATTAATGTGATATGTACTTTGAGCTCTTAATAGTATTTATTGCTGCTCTTACTAGTATGTATTGTCAGTTGTAGATCTGTAGTTGATGCTCTGTTGATGCTTGTATGTTGTTCCTCAAATGTAAGTCGCTTTGGATAAAAGCGTCTGCCAAATGAGTAAATGTAAATGTAAATGTATTCCCTCTCAGAGATGAGAAAGCTTATACTATAACCTTTTGATCTTAACTGTCATTAAGCGTTTTACATGCGTAACTGTTCACAATATGCAATACGGATTTACAGGTTCGTGTGTGATGGAATGAGCTGCGAACTTGTTAGTAAAATGACTGGATTTGGTAAGGATGAGTTGTAATCTGGCTTTGTCTGCAAAATTTATGCTGTACTCATTGACTGAACAGTTCTTCTCATTAGAAACAGAACAATCAGCAGTGGGAAGATATTCCAGACAATTTTTCCCTATAAGTTTAAACCAGTCCAGTGTTGTCATTTTTATTCATGTTGCTCCAAATTCCCAAGGACCCTACATGCATTAGCAGATGTTAGCCTATGTTCACTCAGTTTCACAGTGGCCAAAAGTAGCCACTGCTTGGATCAAAAGGTTAGATGTGATGCCCTCAGAAAACAGTAGTTTCAGAGTCAGACCTGAAGGTCCAGAGTCACTCCAGTTCTTCTCACAGATGGAGCGAGTTTGGGACAGTCCAGAACAAACCCCTAAGCCAGCAGAGTGTGGGTTAAATTTGCCGCTGGGTTTCTTCCGGGAGCTCAGGAAACTGGCTTGCCCTCTTTTGCCAGAAGGACCTTGTGTCCTCTCATGTCCAAAAACAGAGACCGTTGTTGGGTTGAGGGAGGTCTCAGCTTCTTGTCTGAAATTATACATAAGGTATGCTTAGATGAAGAGCTGAGTGTGGGAGTCAGCTGGAAGCATTCAAATGATGCTTTAGAATGATAAGAGCTCCCTCTAGAGGGCAACTGACACTGCAGTAGACACACAAATCAATTTGCTCTCTCCCCTCTTTCGTTCACTTAGTTCCATTGTCTTTGAGGTGATGATGCAGATTTCTCCTGTTCCAGGGATTTGGCTCAATGAATCCAGTAAACAGGGGTCTCGACACAACACTGCAGCACTTACTGGTGATTTTTGAATTACAGCAGGTAGGGCACGCTTACATCAGCTTAAACCTGCCTCTCCCTAGGTCCAGTGTCTTCGACTGTGATGATCTCACAGTCTCTTCCAAACACACACACACACACACAGTCTTTCTTTTTCGGCACTCATCCCTTTTCTCCAGCAGCTCCTCCATGGCTTTAATGCAGTCTGAGAATGTGTCTGCTCTGTCAGTCAGACTCACTGTCTTTTCCATTCATTAGACTTAAAGGAAAGAAAATGCCTTTGTGTTTGATTCTAGCAGCATTAATGGGCCTGTCAATTACACCGCAGGCTCAATCCATAAGTCCTCCGCATACTGTATATGAATAATATAATGATAATAATGAACAACAGCTTCATATATATTTGATCAGAGAGAATGTACATGATAATGAATGATAAGGATGGTCTGGTCATCCTGCCGTTATACCATATTACGCTCTTCTTTCCTCTAAAAGTAAGGATAATACCATGTGAGATAGCGTTACTTAGGCGCTTACTAAAATCTCCTTTTCTTCTTTTGTACTTTTCTTCACTTTGCTCTTATTCTTCCTTCATAATAATATATCTTGCCTCATTTTCCAGGAAATTGAAGCTTTCCATCTACAGTTATGTGTTCACTCTACTGCCCTCTCTCTCTCACTGTCTTCCCGGCGTCTCTCTCTTCCTTCCTCCCTCTCTCTGATCTGCTGCCCTGTTCCCTCGTGCTCTTTCCTACCTCACTCTGGTCTTTCATATATAATGCATGTTAAACAAACAGACATGTCAGAATCACTCAAATGCACGGCTGTCCCCTCGCTGCTGCTCCATCCACCCTGAGAGGGGGTCATGTCTCAAAGGCTCGCGTGTGGAGCCCAGGCCCAGCTGAACTACAATCAGCTACAGCAAAGACAAACTGTACATTCAATGTTGCTCCTATACCAGAGTCTATTTATACAAAATCTGAACTCTATTTAATCACATAAAATCTAAAAGTCCTGCTACTGAGAGTGGAGCTTTTATACAGAGCCATTGTCTAAGTCTAAGTTTCAAGGAAATATAGTGGTGAAGCTATTTGTAAAGTGGATGCGTTTTACAAGGAGAAAGATTTTCCAACAGCTTGTAAAGGAGTTCTGTTCATGTGCGCATTTGTGTCTTTGTGTACACATAAAAGTCTCTACTCATGTATTGTGAGCGCGCGTACATAGCAGTGTTTAATGCATAGCCAACTCCATTCTGTCCCTTGCGATTCAGAGCGCTGAAGACAGTCAGTAAGAGTGATTCCCCTTGTCAGTTACTTTACATGTAAATCTAATTTATCTGTCATGGCATGGAGGGGATAAGCTGATGTGGTGGTTTTCTCTTGAATTGCATATATAAAAACACACACACACACACACACATACACACTCTCTCATCTACAAAATCCCAATTTTCCAGGTGCAGAGGTCTGTAGAATGGAGCCAGAGCCACTCAAAAGGAAACTGCATTATTCTCCATCAGCACTGTGGAGTGTCCGAGCTATTATACCATCCACCACTAGCATGCACATACAAATGGAGTTTACCACTTGACAGAGAGTGCGATGGGGCCTGAAAAGCACAAGGGTATGAGTGGGATTGTGCTCGATCAGCGGCAAAGTAAGTTCATTTTCATATTCCACACAGAATATGCTCCACTTGTGTTGCAGTGATATAATGCAAAATGACTAAGTGCAAATTTCACAGGCACATTATACAGCTTTTGGAGTTGAAAGCTTCCCCAGAGTGTCAACATGTGTATATTTTCTTAGATCAGTAGATCACTGCATTTCAGCTTTGTAGTCTTCACAATGTATCTTCACAAGATCAAGTCTGAACATGATGCAAATTTATAGCATAATAAAGTCGTTAGAAGTACATAATGGTGGATGAATTGTGCATTACTCCCTTAAGCAGCACTCTCACCTGGGTGGCAAGAATAAATAATAAGAATAAATGATGGTTCTCTCCACTCTTTCCACCCACTGTAGGCAGAAAGAAAACTGAATTTATTCAGACAGCTAATGTACACAGAGACACTGTGATTGTATACTGTGTGTGGATGAAATGGACTTGAAAGGATTTTCCTCTCACACAAAGTAAACATCTGTCCAGGAATAAGATATTGATTCATCATTTCCCAGAGCTGAAGCCGAGTAAACAGGGATGTGACCGGGGGTCGCTGATAATTGTTGTCCCATAACAGTCAGAGGCCTTTTCTCTGACTCAACTCAGATCTATTGTATATTCTGCCTTGCATGATGTACCTGTCAATATATGCACATCCAATAAACATTACATGTTTTCATAAAGGACATACAGATAGATAGATAGATAGATAGATAGATAGATAGATAGATAGATAGATAGAAATTGATTAGATTAGATTATGAATATTATAGTTCTTTTCATACCTTGACCTATGTACCTATACTATAATATGTTCTTATATCTTTTTGAAATGTCAGCTCAATTTCTTATTTATCTCATTTTATTTTGTTATTTATTACATTTAAGTAGTAGTTACCAAGTAGGTTTCTTCGCCTCTCAGCCTCACTCTGTGCTGTTTTTGTAACATGTTTTGTAACAGTTTTCCCTCGGGTAAAGTCCTCTCTTATTTTATATATATATATATAAATTGTGTGATTATGTTTTTTGTTTTTTTTGTTAAACTGATGTCCGAGTCCTTCTCTCACTGAGAGAGAAATGCGTAATCTATTCCACCAGATGTCACCAAATACACACAGCAATGGCAGATTACTGCAGTTAAATCATCCATCCACTGGGTGGAGGCACACAGAATTAAAATACGGGAAGTAAGAAACATTTTCAATGCATGAGGTTGTGGTCTGTTTAAAATAGACAAGAAAAGAGAAAATGCGCGCGAGCACAGCCGTAGTACAGTCTGTGATGTTACATGGTGCCTTGTCTGCAAAAGGCTGTTTTTGTTCAAGCGTGTTTTTTCTATTACTCCAGCTGTTACCATAAATGGTAAGAGTTTATGGGAATACATTGTGTTTGTTAGGTTGTGTAAGAGAGTGAGAGGGTGAAAACAGACGATGTGCACGCTGAGTGAAACCATAGAGGGAAACCAGGAAGCCCAGAAATAAACATACTCGACATGGGACTGTTGACATATAAATACTTTTGTCAGGTGGTTTTATAATGTAAAAAAATAACAAACCTATGAATTTGTATTGTATTTTAGTTTTTTTGCAAGGTATTCATACATATTTTGTCAGTGGCAGACAATAGAGGCTGTGTTTTAAACAACTTACAACTTAAATTACAGTTTACGAATATCCGCAAAACAAACTAACAAACTACTGGAGGGACGTGCTACAGTGGCCCTGAAAAGTGTCAAATAAATGTGAGTATACCGTATTATTATATCTCACCTCTACAGTTATGTTAGTTACAAAAGAGTATCTCAGGAATATATTCAGCTGTGAAGGAGTACTCTAGGAATTCTTTTGCAGAACAATTAATTCAGAGTATATTTGAATACTTCAAAAGAGTCTGCTGGGTAATGTATCACACATTTATGTGTTATAAAGAAGCTAGACAGTCTTCACATTTAAGAAGCCGGAATCATAGAATTTTGACTTTTTTTCTTAAGAAATTCCTCAAACTAATTAATAGATTCACAATCACAATAGTTGGTCATGCACTTAATAGTTAACAACTAATCTATTAATTGTTGCAGCTCTATTTTATTTCTTGAAGAAGTAATGGTGACTTGAGGATTAAAAAGAACTGGGTTTTGTTGAATTGCCAGAATCTTTCCAATATTTGGTTTTGCAATTATTTCAGATTTGATCAGATATAATACAAATAATAATTCATCATTATTTTACTTTCTCAGGAGCTGACATTCAGTCATGGCTGAGGAACCAGCAGCAGAAATCCAGCTACTCAGAAGTCAGAAGGTCAAGCTAATAGAAATTCTAAGTGCAGATGCCGACTTCGTCCTGCAGCATGCAGACTCTCGCTTTCTGCTGTCTCCTCACGGGTACCAGCAGGTGAAAGCTTGCCGTATTCCTAGTGAGAAGGTGACAGACCTGCTGGATTGTATCATCCAGAGAGGGCCTGAAGCAGCACAGGGTCTGCTGGAACTACTGAACGACCAGGCCGTGCAGGAAACCTTCCCAGGGCTTCGCTTCCTCAACGAACTGCAAGTCAACACACTGTCTTCAGGTAGAACAAAGTCTTTTCAGTATTTTCAGCAATTGCAATAATATATACTGTTACCATTCTATGTTAAATGTAAATGTTTTCTCTGTTTACAAGAAAAAATAGAAATGTCAAGAAAGAGAAAAATAGCTCCTGATTTACAAGAGACCATTTCATCCAAACAGACCTGCAACAATGGTGGGTCACACTGCAATCAAAGCTATTCCCTTTAAAACATTTTAAACCATCACCTAATTTAGCTGCCTCTGTCTTATTGTACAGGCTCTGGATTAGTTAAAGAGAAGCAGCTGATGACCGTGGCTTGTACCATTGGCAAATCTTGGAGGGAGATTGGCAGACTGGCTCTTGACATCCCCTCTGTGAAGCTGGAAGAGATTGAAGAGGACCATTCACTCCACAAGGAGCGAGTATTTGCCATGCTGCGCTACTGGCGTACCAGCCAGAGGGACAAAGCCACTGCTGCTCACCTGCACTCCCTGCTCAGTCAGAAAGACTGGGCGCTGCCACTTGAAAGCATTGACTTTCTGTTGGAGACTGACTGACTCTTTCACTGTCGGGTACTTACTGAGACTGAAAGCCTTTTCGAAGGGTATTTCCACTGGAAATAAAACAACACTTGAAGACTTTACTATTATGGAATTACCCCACAGTACCATTTACTACCACTTAGGCCTCTTGTTCAAAGTCAATGATCAACTTATACTACTTTTATATGACCTTTTTATATTACAAGAATATTAAAAAAAGTTTAGTTTTATGAAATTTCTTTGAAAGATGTGTTTTTATTTTCTGTTGATAGTGTCTGTGGTATTGATTTTTTACGGAGAAATTATGAAAATTACTGAGCAGTGCATATTTCATTTTAATGTAAATACACTGGGGCATTTTAAGAGTAGGGTGAAATCATTGGTCCATATTCTTATGTTTTCACATTTTGCTCAACATTTAATAAATGTTCAGCTTGTTGGGAGAAAATGTAATTATCTCTGAAAGTGTAAAAGATGAACAGTTATGCTAACATGTTCCATATTGATCGACATATCTTGGTCTTTTAGATTAAATGTACCTCACATCTCGGTCTGATGAGATAGTGACTCTTGACGTCATGTAAAGGAGGGCAGGCAAGCAATGCCCATGTTCCACAACCACTGAATAAACTCATCATACCACAGTTGCTGCCTCTAAAATGTTTTTTCTGAAAAGATCTATAACAATTGGTTTTCTCCTGAAAAGAAGGTTTTAAACAGGTTGAGATCCAGTGAGAATCAGTTAATGAAATGCGCAATACCTTGTTTCATTCTTGAGAAATTGTCATGTGGCTTGATGAAACTAGTTAACTTTCTTTTTTTGTAACAGAAACTCATAAATCAGAAGTTACTATATCCATATCTTCTATTGTTTCTCCCTGTCTTTCCCCCCATCTCAGGTGACTAATTAACTTCATCTGGCACAAAGGTTGACTCTGTTGCTTTCCTACCATACCGTACCTTTGCTTTTACTTTTCAAAAACATGGATATGGCAAACAGGTTCCCATTCTCTTATAACTTATAAGTACAGTGTGCCAGTGCCATATATGTCTATTCTTGCTTGTAACGCTTGACTTTTGCGTCAGTTAGCTGGCAGTTAAAGGAACAAGTTCATCTCCATGACCTGAATGAGCCTCTTACTGACCACTCAGAGGGCCAGCTCTTCTTAAATTAAGCCATTATTATGATGCTTGCTCTGCAAGGGCACAGGTGTCAAACAAAAGGTCTGCTGTGAAGCCTAAAATCGCAATCGTGTGAGATTGCAGTGAGTATTCTGAATGAAACTCATAATCCATGTGTTCTTCCAGCAGGTTTGTGAGTGGAAATGGCCGGAGGAGCTGACTCTGCTCCTTTTCCTTTCATTCCTTTGTTTATTAAAACAAGAATGTTTGTTAAAGCATACAAGCACATAATTATGCAGGGGAAGCTTGTGAAAATATAATGCAATAAATAAGGCAGTGGTGGAAGAAGTATTCAGATCTTCTACTTAAGTAAAAGTAGCAAAAACAAGTTTTAGGTTGGTATTAGTAAGTATTAAGTAAGTATCCGCAACAAAATGTGAAAGTATCAAAAGTAAAAGTAGCTGTTATGCAGAATGGTCCATTTCAGAGTGCCATATTACATATTATTATTATTATGATTAATTATCATATTATCATCATCATCATCATTATTTTTATGTATAAACATAAGCATGTTAATGTTGCTGGTCAAGGTGGAGTCAAGTATTTCATATGTTATTGGGTTGTTTAACCTATAACAATGCATCCTTTTTTTTAGATAATATCATATGCTTTGTACATAATGTGAATCTGGAAAGTAACAAGTCACTGTAGCTGTTAAATAAATGTAGAGGAGTAAAAGTAAACTAGGAGTAAACTAGCAAGAAATTAAAATACTCAATTGAAGTAAAAGTACCACTGTGCTTGAGTAAATTACTTTCCACTGTTGTCTGGCAGGTGTTTTTCAGCTATGGTGTACAAAACAGTACAGTACAAAATATAGTCTGATCGGACATGTTGTGCATGAATTGCATCTTCAACTGTGAGGTGGCCCCGTTGTTTGCGCTGACGAAGACTGAGGTCCAGAGAGGGCTGTGGCAGCAGATTGGCTGGACAGAAGGTGATGTATGTTTCTGCCCTGGGTCATTTATCAAAAAAAAAATACTAAAAACTGTTTCTATCTCATTAAATGTGCTGGCCCTCAGAATATGCTAGAGTATTATTCCGCAATTACACGACATTTTATGGCCTAAATGATTACTCAAATATTTTTTAAAATATCATAAAAATGATTATTTCCAGCCCTATTCACCATGAATCTCTGGGTTCTACAGAATAACTGATAACTTTATCATTTTTCTTTGCATTTTGTCTATGCTCTCTTATGCACTTCATCTGCCGTATGATTCCAGAGAACTTGGACAAAGTTTTAGCTGAGTTGCAACACAGGCTAACAGAAATTATACATTTAACCACTCTCCTGCAGATATCTGGTGGAGCAGATGAAGGAAAGAGAAGGGTTTCATCCTTTGCAAGAGCCAAGTAAATATCTCAGGCATGCTGAGAAAGAGTAGTTGTTTGTTCCCTGTATATATATATGCATTACCTGTCTGTATTTGTCTCCAAGTCAGTTTGGAATGTATGCTTCTGATTTATACCACCCAGTATGAGGGTGGAGGACGGAAATATAGATTACCAGGACACACAGGCAAATGTAAGTTTCTGTATTACATCAGTGGACTGGGAATATAGAGACTAAAGTGTCCAAAGTCTCGATTTACATTTTTGATCCCTTCATTCTGTTGCACACACACATACACATTAAGCACTGAGATTCTCCTTCTTCTAATTATTTGTAGTGTGCATGCTTTGTTAAAAAAAACATGGAGACCGCAATCTTCAAGTATTTACCACTTATGTGCAGCACTACTGAATCTAACAGTTATCTATGTGCGTGTGTTTTTTAGTTGTTGTTAATAGCTAGCTCCAGTCATCAAGGAACTCATGATGAAACAAGGCAAGGGCTACCAACATTTGGGAAACAAAGTCAACTTTTCCAGCGTTGTTGTTTTCTTTTTTCCCAAAAGATATGGACTTCTTACTTGATGAAATTGAAAGACTGGGAAACGATTTGTGAGCAACATCACAACTCCTTGTCTATCTAGAGGTCTAGTTGAGGTTGTGCACAAAGCCTGGCACTGTAATGTTACAAATGAAAACAAACAACCTCGCTGAGGGGATTTACTTAATTTACAGAGCTGTCGTAATATACTGAGAGATACTAAACTCTGAAATCTGGAGACCATGGACCAAAATATGACAAGAAATAAATAAACAAATCAAGGAGCCTTATTTTTGATAAATGTCAACAATTAGTACTTTATTTGTGGCCTTTATCATAGCGTTACAGGTTTCGAAACATTAAACAACGGTTTACCTGAAATCAGTTCACCAGAACCTTTTTTGAAACCATCTCTGCAGAGCTGTAGAATTGCAACCCCACCATTTGTGGTGGTGTATCCTTTATTATTTAACTTTTTGTCCATCATACAATTTCTGAATAGAAGGTCTCTAAACTTTTCATTCAGAGACTGTGTCTGCTTGCTTCCATCACTCTAGGGCTGCACCTGATGGCTATTTTCATGAATGATTTGGTCTATAAAACATCAGAAAACAGTGAAAATGCTCATCACAATTTCCACTGCCCAAAGTGAGGGCTTCAGATGTCTTGTTTTGTCAGTCTAAGATCTTCACTTAAAGACAAGGAAAGCATCAATTTCTTACATTGGAGACGCAGGAGCCATTAGATGTTTGGACTGGAATTTTTGCTTGACAAATGCCGTAATTTTTTTTAAAATGGTTGCCGATTAATTTTGTTAATTCAAGTGTTGCAGCTCCACATAACTCAGACGTCCACGCACCCGCCACCACTCCCTCACAATTATGGCCGCAAATGTGGGTCACTGCGCTTCACTCACGTGACAGGGCGTCTGGCCAATCAGCGCTCTTCCCGGTGAGCACTTCCGGTGGCGTTTCCTGTCAGTGTTTATAAACTGAGAAAAAAAATTGGAAGTGCGACAAGAAATAATAATCTACAGAACTCTTAAAATCGAAAGGTAAGCAGTCAGGTTTCAAACACATGTCACTCGCGACTCTTTAAACGTGTTGTACTATGTTTCTCATAGCTGTGGCCGGTGAGGGGGGTGTTATTTTGTGGTCGGCGCTGAGCCCGCACGCCCTGCCTGCCTGGCTGTTGTTGTGTTGTCTGGGGCGGGTGGTGGGGGTTCAGTCATACAAGAGTTGTCCCAATACCAACTACTAGCTAGCTAGCAGGTTAGCCTTTTCTGTTTCATTTAGCAGAGACTCTTACCATGCTACACGCGTTCAAACCTGCACTCTAAATATATCTAGATACAGCAAACTGCCTCTCCAGTGTGCTCTAGCTGCAGCCCCGGTTGATTAAGAAAGCTCACTTTCCCAACAGGGAATTAAACGGGTTTTTTTATAAGTCGCTAGCTAGCTCAGTAGTGATGAGATGCATCCTTGTGTAAACTAGGCATCATGTTTGCTTTTGCAAGATCACAAAACCACTTGCTTACAAGTAAGAGTGACTCACAACCCAAATGATTTTCAGCTTAATGATAAATGGATTTAATGAAAGCAAACGTGCTCCACTAAAGTCATGAATAACAGTGTTTGCTACTATCAGAGGTTTCATGCATGATCTAAATGTGTTTATCTGCTACATATATATATATATTTACAGCCTACGTGATGTTACTTACATATCACACTCCAATGGCATAACGTTATTCTCTGTTAGAGTCAGTTTGGGGTTATGTGCATTGTGGTTTTATGTTAATTTGGATTGTAAATAGATGTAAACATTCCCCATTGAGTTTCTGGACATCTTTAAGTTAATGGCCAAACTGCTACTAGCCCTATTAAGTCTTCCACAGCAGGAGAAGCACGCTCTTTTTTTCCCCATCGTTCTCCACCTTTTAAAAATAATGAGCATGTTCTGATCACAGACATATTTATTCAGTTGTTGATGGCATCTAAACACTAAACTCGTTTACTGTAAAGTGTGTAGGTCTAACAGCTTACACAACTGCAGTCTTCCTGTTCTCGATACATTTTGTTGAACCAGTCACTCTAAGGATAGAAATTGCTATCCCAAATCCTAAAAAATAGTTTCTCAATAACTAGTTCACTAAGTAGTTAGTAATCGCTCAAGAAGTTGGATATTTTCTGTGTCGCTTTAATTCTAAAATCATTGCTGTGCACTATTTATAAAATACTTAGAATACAACATACAAAAGCTCACTGACTGAAGGTAAAAGCTACTACATTTTTCCTTTTCAGAATAGTGCAAACATGGAAGACATGGGTGGAAAATGTCACAAATGTTTGTATTGTATGTATATATTATTCATTTGTTATTTTTACACTGTACCTACTAATTGCATGGAATTATGTTTGTTGTGTTCAGTGTTTATCATGCAGTGCTTTAGAATTGCATCAGAGGTCAGTGAGTATAAATGTTCATTGCATCTGCAGCCTCAGGACTAGTTTCATTCCCTGAAATCCAGTCCACTGTATAGCGATTGACATGCTTCTGAACTATTTAACACCCCAGTGATCCATCAATTGGTTTGTGCTATGAAACATGACTTGGTCAAAAACAAATGTAACTGTCTTAGATGTAGACTTATTTACGCCATTATCTGCATGAATATGCTTTAAAGCGTCAGTAACATAAGCACCAACTAGGCTATAACTCAGTTTAGACAACATCACATGCTGCCTGTATTCCACTTTAAGATGCCTATAACAATGTTATTTGATAAGGTAGTTAAAATTGTGTTTTATAGTGCATTTGCTGCTCTCAAACAGAAGCTCACAACACATTTTTTAGATACTCGTATATATTTCACTATCACCATGTGTAGAAAGCATTTGTTTGATTAATGTGTCATACCTACACAGATGTATTTTTCTGTTTTTGACTGTTTTCATTTGTCCCATTGGACGTCATTATTTTTCTCTATCTGCCTGTTTTCTGTCAACCATGGTAACGTGGCGTGCACCAAACCATTGGGGCTTCCTTGCCTGATAAGTTGGACATATTAATGCTGGACCTAAATTTCTGGTGATATATCCAGATTTGGCGATTTTTGTGAAATCTGAAGACGTTGGTCTGATTTTCAAGCTCCTTATTCCAGCGTGTAAAAATGTTAGCCTCATGTTGTCATGCCTCTACTTTCAGGCGTTGGCCCCTGATGATTTGGGTGGCCGTGGTCTCTTCTGTTACCCCTCATCCTGAGTGAAGCCACCCCCCCCCCCCTTCCCCCAAACACACACGCATTCAAACCACGGCGATGACACACCATTCCAACAGCTCTGTTCGAGACCATATGAAATGGGTCAGTGGAAGTCTCTTCATTTCCAGAATCACCATCACGGTTTTAGTGTTCACTCCCAACCCTGATGCCAGTGCCTTTCTCTGTTACTCCCATTACTCTACTCTCTCTCCTTACCCTGACTCCTTCTCTCCTTGAGGAGTCACATGCCCCTCTCTTTCTGCCATGTCTGTCTGTTGTTTGTGTTGCCAGGCTGGGTTGCTGGGCTGCGAGGCGGTGCTGTCCAGCATGGCCCTAATGCAAGCCAACAACATCCCTGGCCAGAAGAGGATGATGTCACCCTTGGGTCAAGGACAACGGGCCAGTCCAGAGAGCCACCAAACCCACTCGCAGCACAGCCACAACCACCATGGACACCAGGTTCACCATGGACAAGCCCACCACAGCCACATGGGCCATCCCTCAGGCGGGTCCTGTCCACCCCTGGTAAGGAAGAGAAAAGCTGTTATTTCTTGATCTCTATCAAGTATGATTACTTTAACCCCCCCATCATTTTTATTAGCACTATACAAAGATGTTAATGGTTTATAACTCCCTATAATGTAGTTGTAAGCATAAAGTGTTTTAATGTACAATATATTCAACAATTATAACATCTCCTAAGGAAACATTTTATATTATTACAATCATGTTAAACTATATTGTCATTCATTATTTGTTTATACATCAGCCTCTACTTATGGATGCCCACAGGGAGTTATAAATGTTGACAAATACATTAATAAATGCATTTATCTGCTTACAACTTATATAGTGAGTAATAAATGATTTATTCAGTGTTTATTTACTGCTTATAAATATTAAATGGGGGTTACCCTGTGTGTGAATATGTGTTTTGGCAAGTACCACGAAATAGCTGTCTCAGTGGCAAATCGGTGCAGTGCAGTTTATGCCATTATCATTCCTTCCTCCAAAAGCTGATCCGAAAAGACGGGGATTATCATTCATCAAGAATGATGGACGGAAAGGACATGCAGGCAAATCAGAACATGCAACCCAAGAAGAAGCACAAAAAGTCAGGGTCATCCAACAAAGTTAAAGAGAAAGTAGAGGTAAGGATTGTTTCAAAGATGCACTTTTAAGTGCCACCTCCTACCTTTTGATGGTTACTTTCAACTTATTTTTGTTATTGCCGTTTGCAGTTACTTCCACCAATCAGTATGGATGATGACAGTTCCTTGAAAGTTCAGAAGAACTTCATCTGTGACCACTGCTACGGAGCTTTCCGGAGTAGCTACCACCTCAAGCGACATATACTTACACATACAGGTGAGAAATCACAGCTCACGTCTCCATTTCACTGTGACCTTTCTCACTCCATTTATAAGTTAGATATGGGAAACAGCAGCAGGCTGGTTGGTAGTGAGGTTGCTACTCAGCCAGTGGACCATGGTGAACTCCTACACTTCTGAATCTACTTGATTTAAACCACAAATGAAACCACAGACTCTAGCCATCTTAAATGATTTTAAGTACTAAATTGGGTGACTACAATTGTTTTAATGAATAATTTGTTTTTATTGAGAAATGGCATGTTTTTGATTTTAATTTTGGTTTCCTTGCTCCTCTTCATTTTGTTAATGTTGGTTCTGTCAGTTCATATAACGTTATTGTGGTGATCTTTTGGCAAACTTTAAAAAGTATCTTGTGTCCACTGAAATATGTCTTGAGTCTTGATAAATACTGATAAAGGTGTCATCTGGTGTTGTACGCAGGAGAAAAGCCATTTGCTTGTGACGCGTGTGATATGCGCTTCATTCAGCGTTACCACCTGGACAGACATAAGAGGGTCCACAGCGGAGAGAAGCCGTACCAGTGTGATCGCTGCCATCAGGTTAGTTAGCCTTTGTTTTAGTACAACTTTTACGCTCCCTGTGTACTTCTGGGTGTCTGCATATCAGTCAGGATCCTACAGCATTAAACAAATCCATCTGTCTTAGCAGTGTTGGTAGCACTGTTCCGCTAACTTTGACCATAACACACATCTTACCTTGCCTGGCTCCAGAACTTCTCACGGACAGACAGGCTGCTGAGACACCGACGGCTATGTACAGTTGGGATCAGCAAAGAAGAAAACCAGTACTCACAAGATGCATCTGCCCATCCAGCTTCATGGAGCCCCCTACAGCCTTCCAACAACCGCCTGACCGTCTGACCCACCACTTCCCACTGAAACCCACAGAGACCCTACAGACAACAGCAGTCGTCACACATTGGAGCTCAACAGTGCTGTCACTTAAACAGCCTAGCTTAAACACAACTTTAGTTTGCTTGCGCCAGCTCATTCGTAGAGCTTGATAGTGGATTTTTGTACTTTTTTTATCTACTGTTACATTCATGGGACAGGCAAAAGGGGAAGGATGAATACACGACCCTGGACAACAGGTATTCTGGCAATAATTGAATGAAACACACACAGTTCTGGTATCTTTTGGTATTGCTGTGAAGTGATTGACTGGTTGATCTGCAATCAACCCCAGTGCTGCCCTCTACAACATACGGACAGTTCACAAACGGACACACATACTGTGTAGCTTTTTAGTGTTCAAGTCCTACTCAATTTGTGTTCCTAATTCTACTTACCATGTACCAGCTACAGCTCCTAAGCGAAAGCTCACAGCAGACTTGTGGTCCATGCTGTCGTGAGGTTGTGATTAGCCACCTATCCAAAGCTGTAGGCGCAACACATCTGAAATCACATTTAATGGACTTTTTGATAACACTGACCTAAACATGAAAGGGGATTATTACAGAGTGAAATGCAAACTAGTCATTCATTTTTATCTAATATACATGAAAGCCCTTTTCCAACACACAAGTCTTAAAACGGATCTAAAATAATTTTTTACCTGCTGTTCATTCAGCTGTAAAACTGAAAAAATAACTACAGTTGCAACCCTGTTGTTGATACGTGATAACAGCTTTAAAAACACTAAAGGTTAAGTCGATGCTCCTGAAAGGTAAAATAATTCAAATAATCTTGGTATTAGTTAAGTTATGGAGCAACAGGTGGCTCACATATTCACTGTTCTACCTTGTTTTAAAGGGGGTTCGTCCTGAATGTTAATAGGTTACACTGTTAAAATACAGTAGAAGGCTGATTTTGTAGGAACAGTCCAGATTTTTTTTATGTTCTTGAATGAAGTTAGTGAGCTTTTTTTATAATAACTGGATGTAGGAACCATCTGTCTGTACCAAAAAATAGGTGTTTCCTAAAATGCTTCTGTAATAACCCCCTCAATATAAATTCATCGTGCTTACTGTCTGTTAGTCTTTTTTTCTTCCTGCTTCTGCATTCATAGATTCTTCTGACTTTGAAAGACTTGCGTCCTTTCAAAGTATTTTACTTAGTCAGGCATCTGAAATCCTGAGGTTTACCTGTGAAATCTTGTCAAAACAGGTGGACAGTTGCACACAATTGGATAAAAACTAGTCCCATGTCTAAATTTGTCACTGAAGGTACTGGGGACATTTTTATTATTGCCAACTAGTTTGATTCAGTGCTCATGATAATGGCCCAGATCATTTTAAACAGTTGGAACTATAATTAGGCTCACCTCTGTCTTGACCTGTCTGAATGTGATCTGAATACAGTGCCATGTCATTTCATCTCTTGTTTAACCTTGAGCATCTTCAGTGAAGGTGACTAACTGTACGCAGTGGACATGGCATAATAGGGTCCACATGGTGTTTTGTATGATGATGACCTACATTATATTTTGTTTAGGCCTCTGTACGAGTAAACCGGACTAAACACTGGACTGAAGATGTTAGCTCAATTGTAGAGGTTTGTATTGTAGACTGGTACTTCTGTTGCTGTCATACTTATAGATTATGTGAAAGACGTTTGGGGCCCATCACTGACGTCTTATGAAGTTAATATATATTTAAATTGTAGTAGGGGTAGAAAATAGTATGTATGGGACCTACACTCCAGAAGAAAATCAAAGTATTTACAAAGTTATAATCCTTAGTCTGATGATTTCTTACGATAACTGAAAAGTCAACGACAAGTCATCCTTTAACTTGCTGGAGTAAAGTAAAAGCTGACACTCTTTCCCTTTTAGTATTTTTTTGCATGTATTTGTTGGAGGATCTTGTATACATTTTGTTTTGGTAAAGAGATTTTTTTTTTGTCATTTCAGGGGTGAAATGAAATCAGTTTTGACTCCCTCAATCATACTGTAGTGTGGACTTTGTAATGGAGTTTTAGGGCCCCAAGTCTCAATAAAGCTGTTACACTTTTTATAACAAGTGCAGGTTGTTCACATTTTCTGCTACAGTGATTCTAAAGTGATTCTCTTTCTTCTTTTTTTGTGAGAAGCCAGATTTTCTTTTTCATTTGTTTTCCTGAAAGCAAGGCTGAAGTCAGAATTACATTATGTTCTGAGGACTGTCTACATGAAGTAATATCCATAAAATATTGTGACCCATTTCAGCAGTCTTCTACTGAGCCAGAGTCAACATAAAATTAGAAATTAAATTACTTGTCTTCAGATGGCGCATTACTTACTGAATCTTCCAGACAAGACTGCAAATCATTTCAGAAATATGTAATGCACCAATTGTGTCAGCAGATGGCATCCATGACCATATGAGGACCAATTATCTGTCTAGCAAAGTGATGAAGAAAGACCTAATGTTTTTCCCAGATTGATGGTAATTCAAAATTTTAATGGTAAATAATATGTTGTTTTAATAATGAATTAAATGGAAGAACATTGTTGCTACATAAACAAATGAGTCTTGTGAGGCAGGTGTGAAGAAAACATAAGCAGTGAGATAAATTTCAAAAGGGGAAATCAATCATCTCCACTTGCATTTGACGTGAATAAAAAGTTTAAAAGTCAAATGACTATCAAGCTACAATGAGACTACTAAAAACATACAAAACATCTTTTCAACAAAATCAAACATTCATTTTACAAAGATATGACACTGAGGAAACGTCTAATCCTCACATTTGAGAAGCTGCAACCAGCCTGCAAACGCTTTTGGGGTCGATAAGAGAAATAAAAACAATCCAGTTTTATCCCCATCAATTAATCAACTAGCAACACTGCTCATTACAACAGTGTTGTCACTTTAGTAGGTTAACACATAGCCTTGTCAGCGCCACAAGAGGGAGGTGTATCCTAAGCTACTGTCTGTTCACAACCTTCCTTGAGACAGTGAGAAATACTTGCACTGTGCAAAGCCAAGTGCTCTGTAGATTTCAGGGGCCTTTCTACAAAAAATCAGTCACTGAAGCAGAGACAATAGATGATCAATACACCTCTTCTACAAACCAATCACAGATATCATAGCCCGGAGTTGGCTGGAAATATATGACCCAAGGTTTAATGATGCATTACACTACTTGAAACTTCCAACAAAATGTAAAAATTCAGGTGAAAGTAGTTACATTTTATGAGTTTAGAAATCCAATTTGATTACAAAACTGGCTAAAAACATACATAGCAGTCAGTCCCGCACAAGGAAATATGGTTTGTTGTAAATGTTTGAATACCCAGACAATGTATTCAAACAGACATAGCAGTCTGTGTCTCGGTAGGTAATACCCACATTCTTTAGAGAGAAGCAAAGAATTTCTTCAAGTACATTGCCCCGTCATTCTGCCTGCATGGGTATTGCCACATCAGTCGCACGTTGGGAAATGCAGATCATAGCCTTTAGCACCTTCCTCTTTGCTATTGACCAGTTCCTTAATTAAAGCATTAGGATAGGCAGGATGAGATCAGCCTGAAGGCTGCTGGGAGTGTGCGCCTTCCCCCATGGGAGACATCCCCTCCCTGTGCAGCCTGATTTACAGCACCCGCAGGCCCCCGGCACTTAACAATGGACCTCCTTAAGTGAGGTAGATGGGAAGGAGACCAGAGAGGGGGAGATAACACTCCATCTTCATGCACAAAGTGCTGAAATCATCTAGGTTCGAAATCATCTCTGCGAGACAGACTGATCATGGAGTCAGTCCAGAGGTAAAGTGTAGGAGTGCTGCCTTGTGCTCAGTCTGGCTCACTCCATCAGGGAGGAGACCTCTGTTTAAGAGTGATAGCCAACCCCCTACATGCTCACCTCTCCTGTCAGAGGGATGAAAAAATAGTCCCTCCAAACAGAAATTTCCCCAACCACTAAATCTCAGCTGACTGCGCATACTGTGGCTCTGTAAACATATGGGTGGTTCAGAGGTTTACACAAACAAGCACTCGGCAGCAGAAATGTTCTGTCTCCTACAAATGTTTGAATGCCCCCTGATCAAATACATCACAGGCTCACAGTGAATGATTGAAACCTTCCCAACAATAGCTCCTGCTATCTCCCTCTCCCCGAGGTGTGGGAGAGCCTTTTCATCTTAGGCTTTGATTAATAAAGGAATCGCTGGTTGGTTGAAAGCAGCGATCTGCCCCCCCGAGCATCCATCATGCCTGTGACAGCCCACCTCTGTGTTAATTAGCGGTGATATTTAAGCTGTCTGAGGTGTTCCATGGCCGTCAGCGTGGTGGTGCTGCTCATCATTAAAATTTCAATTCCTCTGTCCGGGTTACTCCCATCTTCCTGGACACCTCAGTGAGCACATCCTCAAACCTTCACACACAGGCACAGGGCGAGCATTCACTGCAAGTGGCAATCAAGACGTAACAATTTTTCTGTACATTTCTTTTCTGCATGTAAAGAAATGCAAAGAACGACGAGAAGAGGAAATCTGAAATAAAGCCAATTAACTGTGAACATGACCCAGTTGGTGCACTCATGTCTTTTTACATGCATTTTAATGTTACCCCAACTGTATCAGCATACGTGTAAAAAAACATCAATTTGACTTATCACACTTTCTCGATAATTATTTGATATTACAGGAAAGAATTTGCCATAAATCTAAAGTTCTCGTCAAACAATGAGCAGTGAAGGTGTGAAAGCATTACTTATTAATGATTACCAAATATTGCAATATTCTCTAATACCGGAGGCTATTATTCAGAAATAAATTATGGATGTAGCTGAATCCTTGTCTGCCTTATAACCAAAAGGCATCCGGCACTAGTTTGAGAACTTTAGCGATATAAAACTTAATAGCTGAGTTAGGGAATGGTGTTTTAGCAAACGGCGGCCATTTTACACCAATCTGATGGACAAAATGGCCTCCAAAATATACACAAAGTTGGTGTATACCCAGTGTCCATAGGGTACTAGGGTATTACTGTTAGTTCTCAAAATATAGTAAATGTGTGGCCATTACCGACAGGATGTTTGCCAGCCACCTGCCTCACAAAACATCTCTGATGGGGAATGTTCTGTCATATCATATTCAGATGTCTGCCACTACCTTTCTAATTAGTGTGACTCAACAAGATTAATTAGCCTCTGCATATCATTCCCAGTACTGAAAATATAAATCACAGAGGAGAGGAGAAGTGAACGCCAACACCAATATGACTGGTGGCAAGGGAAAAGTGAATCTTGGCCTACTTGCGTGTTTTGACGTATTCAAATCGTGAATATTCATAGGTGAAAAATTAATCTCCAGTCAAGTCAGAACTTGCAACCTGAATTTTCAAAATCAACTTTTTGCAGTTTGGCTTAATCACACGGACAGAGGAAAGCCTGAAATAAGGTAAGGTAAGGTTTCTTCACTGAATAAATTTTGAAATGTCACAGTAGGAAAAGCACAGGTGTAAATAGTAAAATGATTTGGAGGAGGCCCAGAGGCTGCAGAGTATGAGGGCACCCTGCTGTACACCTTGGCTTCAGTATGCAGATATATTTACAAAGACCAAGTTCAGTTGTGCAGGACCTTGTTGCTGAGATTTATTTGGCCACAAAGTCATCCACATTCCCCTTGACAGGATATACACCCCGGCACCCTGCAAACTGTCTAAAAATCACTTTCCAACAGAGGTGTGTTTAGCCTCGACAGATACATTAACATGCCTTGGCCTTACGCCTTCTTATTAATCTACAGCTTGTTGGGACACGTTTGGACTGAACTGGCTCTTTGGGGAACAACTAACCACTTAAAACATGAGTCCATATTTGGGCTTCAGAGGCGCTGGATGCTCACTGCACTGTGGGCAGTCATATTCACCTGGGAAGCCATGACCTTTATGTTCTGTAGACCAGAAACACACTTCACAAATATAGGGAGAGATGAAAATTAAACCATCCATTCCTTTCGCCTCATATGAGTTTATCAATTTTCAGCAAAAGCTTCTTCCATGACCTCAAAACTGCAGATCTGGTAAAAGCTGCCGCATTAACGATGTATTTTCACCGGTCCAAAAAAAGCCCCAATTATATATCTTAAAGAGGTTCTAAAAACAGCAGAACAACAAAGACAAAGGTTCAGAAATGGAGCATGATCCTACACAAAATACCTCAGTGAAATGGTTAACTCTACACGTATATATTAGTCTCAGCCCCTTCTAACACACCGCCGACCTATCCATCATTCCTCCGAGTTCAAAGGGGATCATGTCTTATCAAGATGTAAAACCTGTTTTCTTCTCTTACATGGCACATTGTCATGGGGCATGTTGTGTAACCCCAAGTTATCAAGTTCATGAGAAGGTCTCTTACAAAATGATGCAGTCCCACTTGACAAGGCAAGTCCAGGGCTTTCCTCTCCGTCTCTTTATTTTCCGACAATTTTCCACTTGAGCAGACGACCTCAAGTGTGAAGTGAAAGAGGGAAGAGAGGGGATTTGATATCCAGGGGAAACGGTGCATGAATTCACTAGGGGTTGATAGACAGGGCAGGGGCAGCCAGGGTTTTTACCCTTAGAGATTTCCATGGGTCAAGGCTGTTACAGGGCCACATTCTCGCTCTTCTTGATCTTGTCAGGGTAGACTGTCAGGCTGATGAAGAGATAGGCTGCAGATAGATGATGCCGTTGCACGAACACTGGGGCCGCAGTGAGCAGATGCAGTAGCCAGACACCAAAGTGACTTTGGCAGTTTGCTGCTGTTGATAAGCTATGCGATATATGAGTGTGATTCAAAGTCATTTAGTATCTTCTGATCCCCAAGTCAAACAAAAACTGATCATAAGAAGTGTTGAATGAGAGATGAAAGATAAATGCACATTCCATGCCGGCAGAAAAACCTCAGATTGGAGGCAAGATGTGACTGGATGCTTGTGTGCACATCTGTACACATTTTCTGTTTCTTATTTTTGCAGTATACTTGGCATCTGTGACATTAACAGAATATTTTGTGAACTATTCACAGCATTTCTGGACAGACACACATTTCTGTTC